AAGGCTTACCACAGTCTATGTCACTAGGTGGCGGCGCCTTGTTTTGTTGCAGGTCATTTATAGGCAGATACTCGACAATTTCGCAGCTTCATTTCTAGACAAGTTGGAATACACACGCGTGTACGTTCATGTTACGTTTGTAATTTATCGACATGTTGTCTGACACCTCCTGGAGATAATTGAGTCAGTAACAAAAATACAGTAAATTGTGCGCCCAACCACCGCCTTTTACTACCACAACAATCAATAAATAAACAGTCGATATCTGTACGAGAGTATGTGTGAAGTCTAGTCTACAGATCATTGAACTCACAAATTTCTCGGGGTCTCTAGTTATGTATAGGTAGGGGCACTTATTTTTCGCGAAAAGATTTCACAATAAGTTGTGTTCCAAAACACTTCAGCTCAGCTCCAATGTCGGTGATTTGCGTTTTCACGGTCCTCATTTGTCTGCTCGCGAATCACACACTCTCACTACATGAGTAAACTAATTATTATTGGCCTGCAAATTAAAAAAAAAATGTTTTCCCTCAAAGACACGCGACCAATCAATAAACAATAGAAAAATGCTAATAGACGTGTAAACTTGCGCGGAATCTTTCCGTGAAATTCGGGGTGTTCCTACTGATGATGTACTGAAACAAGCAAGTAGGGCAAGAATATTTATATAAACATGGACTTGCGTCATTAATAATGTACGTCTCGTATAACGAAGTATTGCAAATATACATCATTTCACTCCTAGTGAGTGAGTGAAGAGATTTGGGTGGCTCTTAACAGCGACGTCTTCAGAGCCGATGCGGGTGGCTGAGGTGAGTACGGAGCAGCGCCGGGTTGAAAGTGGGGGGAAAACTGGAGAGCCCCGAGAAAACTCGCTGACCAACGGCATCGTCTGGCACGATTACCAAATCCGGTGACCCGGCCGAGGATTGAGCCCGGTTCACCTTGGTGGGAGGCGAGCGTGCTAACCGCTCGGGCACCGCGGCATCTTCACTCCTAGTGTTACATAAGTTTTTGGTAAATAGTTTTCAAAGAATTTATAAATAGAAAAAAATACTTTTACTGTGCAAAAACCACTGTAAAGCTTAACAGTCAAATTAGGGCTTAATGTATATTCTGCATAGAGGCTAAGGTGAAAGGAAGTCTTGATTAAAGCGCAACTCTATAGACCACTCAGTGGTGATAGGGATTTGAGAGACGGCGCGTATAATTTTCAAGTTCGTATAAGTACAGGACTCTTCTCAATATGAACGTGATAATACCTTAGCGAGTCTGGTCACACCCCCCGGCCCGGGGTGGGGGGGGGGGATAGTGGCTGCAAATGTTTCGTAGATATTCACCTTGCAGAAATATTTTATGACGAACACAGACACTTTTTTTCTTATAACTATCTTGTAATCACTAGTGGTTTGTGCAAATAAACTTTGCATTTTCCTCAGTAAAAGTGGAAATATTGAGGCTAACAAATTGATAAATTTGTAGACACTGTCACGCGGAAGGCTTTAACACAAAGGCAAATTTACAGAATTTTGTGAACCAATATTTACGATTTTGTTACACCGAGTCAGATAGGAATATGTAGGCAATCATTTGGGATTCACACCTCGTTGCTAAAATGCGGTTTACCCTGTGTACTTTCGCCGTGACGTCATTCATTCCCATTTTCGAAATGCGTTCCGCATTCGGTACAGTGATTCCATTCGATAAAATAATGCGGCATGTAAATAAACGCTAAATGCGTTTCTATATTCTCAGCGTATTTGCATGCGGCCGAGCAGAAAAATTAACCCCTGGGAGAGAGTTTTAGAGTTTTAGAGTTTTAGAGATAGAGATAGAGATAGAGAGGGAGAGTTGTTTGCATGGGGGGGGGGGGATATTTTTTTAATAGAACAAAATAAAAGGTTTGTTAATGCTGACGAACGTATTGTCCCCCGTACAAAATATGGGATAACGCAGAACAGATTTGTTTGTTTCGCCAAAAAGACAAACAGTTTAACATACTGAATATTTTTGTGACAACAGAATCTGCTTTCAGCCAAAGATTTTGTTAGGAGTTGCTTATTTTATACTCGGTTGGCAGAAATTGAATCAATTCCTTTATGTAAAGAAACAATTTTCTTATGAATGTAGGTCAACTACGATGATATATTTTTTATCACTTCATCATTTCTGAAATGTCTGCTTTATTACAGGTCACTGATGATATGGTAACTTCCGTGAATAAAAATATAATTATAATGGATTACCTTACATTACTGCGACCAGCAAGACATCCGTACCGTAAACGCACAACTTGTTCAGTAAATATTACTAGAGAAACGATTATACATGCTGCTCACGGTAAAGTGAGCACTTTCGAGCCCCTGTTAACTTTTTCCTATCAGCCATTTGTTTATCCTGTAATCACATTCTTAAATAAATACTGCCATGTAAGTAATAAACACAGTGTGTATGTTCCACCGCATTCAGAAGTTAACGTTTAAGGATAAAGTAAAATATATTTACTGACTATTATTTCAGATGAGAGAGCTTTCAAAAGTGCTCACTTTACCGTGAATAGTGTATAAGTATCAAAAATATTCGCCTCAAAATTCTTATTAATTTAACATCAACATATTATTCAAAAAGTTTCCTTTTTGTTTTTCATTTACTTAATCGATTGGAATATTTTTGTTGATTACCATGTTAGTGTATTTCTGTTTCGCACAATTCAGGAGAACATGTGCAAAAAAAGACAAATACAGTATTGGTAATCAGAGTGACCGGAATAATTATTACTTTGCTCTTATGAATATACACGAGTACTAAATTGTACAAATATTACATCTTAGAAAAAATATCCCAACAGTTTTTTTTTTTTAACGGTGTTGTTGCTCACAACCTGTCGCCATTATTTACTAAATTTGTTAAGGCAACACTGTACAAAAATTTCTTATCTGTATCATTTCAAGTCTTATTGCCTCTTCTACCATACCTTTTATTTATTATGATACTTAACTGTTTTGCTGTGTAATAAGAAACTAAAGTTTATGGACGTAGTACAGTTTCTAAACTACTCACTGACCATACAATTATACATTTTATAATTAAAAAAGTATTTACAAAAATCATTATTATCTATTGTATACCTATGCGTATTATAACGAGTTCACGTTTTCAACTATCTAGATTGTAGTTTGGCACATAATGTTTTTGTGAAAATGATTCAGAGCAAACGTTCCTAAGATACCAAAAAATGTTGAGTACAACGAGAAGAAAATTTTCTATTAAACTGAAGAAGGGTGGGATTTTGAAAAAACTATAATTATTTGGCAATGTCTGTGCTGCTATGCGATTCTGTAAATTTTACTTTTACAAATAATCAGGGAAGAATAATATAAATAGCATAAATGAGGTTTTTAAAAAACTTATTGTGTCAGAAATTATAAAACAAACAAAAAAAACCATGGTGTAGTGAACACACCCAACAGCGCAGAAGAAAAAGCCACGGACACCGAATAAAGAAAAATCATATATGGAGGAAGTTATTTGGACACAAGTCTCAAAGAAAAAAGAAGAGAGACTCGAACCTAACCTGAGACAAAAATACAAGTTTGGCCATGGAAGAGGAACCTTCCCAGACATGAATGTGAATGTTAGTGAAGGCAGATATATTTCTGTGAGCTGAAATTGCGGCATGTTAAACATCGCTACTATGCGGTAGAAAACACTGTTCATAACTCAAATACGCGACACGCAAGGACATTCTCGCTGTAATGCATGCACAACCAGTTTATGGCTAACCGCGCTGTTGTCATTTACAAAGAACAGGCGACCAACAGAACACGCCGAATGTAACATGGCAGCGAGTAATTAGCTAAATGGGAATGCGAAATTGGGCATGCAAAAACGTAATTTTCGTATTGGCAATGATGTCGCTGACATGAAAAACTAATTACCTATATAGGTACTTAAATGACAATTAAAAAATAACTTCGCAATAAGCTGAGCCCAGTTAAATAACAAACGCACGTCATCGCCTAAGGTTAGCGAAGAAATATATACGTTCAAAATTAAATAATATTTTTTCCACAGTTTTGTATTCGCATCGACACGAAGATATTTGAGTTATACTTCCGCTTTTTTTTTATTATGCTTCCACTTTTTCTTTGGCATAACTTATGACTAGTTAGCGATTCAAAGACTAAGTAACTCATATTTAGGTGTTTATTCCTGAATACCCATAATAAAAGCAAACCGTTTTACACAGGATGAGTCCTTTAAAATAAAAGAGGCCCCAGGGGACATGTGTGTAACGGAGTAAGGGAATGAGGTAATACAGTCCAGTGTGACAACATATCTAGAGTAGGTGCTGGAAGTGGCCGCCATTGATCTCTTAAGTACTCAAAAAACAAACATACACATACGTAACGGAAATTAATCGATGTACAAAAATTTAAATAGCATATAAAGCAAGATTTTATTATTTTTACTATTGCACAAAAGGAGCTCGTGTTTCCAAATGCAAGTGTCAATGTTCAGGAAAGATATTTCATTAGACAGTTACATAAACAAACATATGAAAACAAAAGACAGTCAAAACCAAACACTGCACACACCACACAGCCTTGTAAATAACTTGGGATGAACTAGTAACAAATTGTGCAAGTTTAGGAGGCTGTAATTTCATCCGTTCGTCCGTCAAAAGTTAACGCTTGACAAGGTTTTGACGGACGGACGGGGAGAATTAAGGGGAATGGCGCAAGAAAACCGTACATTCACATAATTTTTGTCACAACTTGCTTCACAGAGTATTTTTCGAAATTTTCTGCTCGACAAAATGTAAATAACAGTTTTTAACACATTACATTGATACTAACTCACTGCGCTCGTTATTCTCGAAGCAATGATTGAATGTCCCACGGGTCCTCTTTTAAAGGACTCATTCTGGATATTTGATGACCGTGTTTCATGATTACAAAAATTCAAATATATTTTTCCTTTTGTTTAATGGGTTCCCATTACTCATGTGCGCAGTTGGCTGCGGCGTGACTTCTTTTGACGCTGGGGTCCTGGGTTCGAGTCCCCGTGAGTCATCCTTCCTGGGAATATGTCGACAAACTCCGTCACATGTCTAATGTATCGGTCAATAAAGTTAAATAAAATTACATTTAATTTAGAAAAAAGTTGGGCAAAAACTGGCCTTCCACTTCTGAGTCCCCGGTTCGATTACAGGCCCTGGGGCGCGGGTTTTCTCGGTACTCTCCCAATCATCCCCCGTCTGCATTCCGCAGCGTCTCCGCACCCATCTCACCTCACCAGTTCTCCGGACTCGCCTCACACAGACCCACTCGGTGTGCGACCGAGGGTAATGAGAGATCAGCGGATCTTCAACCAAATTTTGTAGAGTTTGATTTACACATAACCCGTTCGGTCCTGAACTAATCCTTTAGGAAAGCACAGATGTACTGTCATTGAGGACAAGGTTGAAGTGAGCTGCCTATATTCTCCCCTACACCAATACGAGTTGCGTTGTTCTCTGTATTTCTACTTGCCATCTTCCTATTGGTCCTGGCTACGTCGGATACGCTTACAATATTCCGCAACGTTTATTATTGTCTGCTCATCGGCCAATGGAGTCGCTCGTTGACTATGTGCCAACCAATGTTTCGTGACAGATGTAACATATTTCACAATCCATCATGTTCATTTGAGAAATTATGATTAATATTGACAGTTTTATACTTATGACTAGTTGTAAACTTTCACTTAGTTTCTCATAGAGTCCAGCAAAACAGCAAAATCATAGAAGTGTGAGATTTGTCTTGGAGAGCAAAGAAATTTCCAAATAAACTTTCCCCGGGTATATGCGTAATTTTTATGAGCACTGTACTAGTGTCGAACGTTCTTTCTGCAGCCAGTAAACAACTGAGTGTCTACTGGTGCCACTATTAACTATTCACAAATGAGAGATGCAGGGATTTCAACCAATAACATTTCTCACAAGGAAGACGCTCCGAACACTGGCCACGGGTTCCTCGTAGAGTACAGTGCCGACCATAAGTATCCCTCACCTGCAACATGTCCTCGGCACATGCACACGTAGACCGAACGGGTTGATGAGTAAAATGGACATATTACGTTCTGTGGATAATCTAGTGAATTTTTTAAATTATCGGCGGAATGTGGTGGGCAGTTTACTGGAAGGAGAAATACGTATCATCAACACGATCGATGAAATATTTAATTACAATGGGTATGTGGTGTGGCAAATATCTCTCGCGTACTTTTCTAACTGGTATTTTTAAATCACCGGCGTTGCTCTCAAATAACCCACAAGGTTCTGCGAAAAGTTACACCGTGGAAACTTACCGATCTCTTACTGTAGGGGAATCACTTATTTCGAACGTTCAAGTTGAAAGTGCTTATAGATGATAGAAAATAATTTTTGAAGACTAATAATCAGCACACTTAAATTTTGGTTACTTCATTTTATTTTGAAATTCATTAGGTTTAGTAACATAATGAGTGTTCACATTTATTATCGATAATTTAAATATGTTGCAATAGAAAATAACTTGGAAAGAATTGAATTGTAAGAATAAATAAGACAGATAGAAGAATGTTTTGGAAACTACCGCGTGTAATAATGTAATTATGAAAATTGCAATGCGTCAAGCATTAAAAAAATACATATAATTATTAAACTGTTAATTTAAGCTTAACCAAAAAATATCATTACTGTAAGTATTCAAAGTATGATTGTGTATATTTCTCATCATATAGTGGATGCTGGTGAATTTTCTCTCGTGGCTTGGTGTCAGGGTTGCCAACTTTCTAAGATTTGGCATAAGGGATACTTCTGACAACTCGTCACACGTCATCTGAGCCTGAAATTATCGAAGGAAATTTCTATTAAAAAAAACTGTTATAAATACTATATGTAATGTGCAAAAATAAGTAGTATGTGCCTATCAGTCAACATTTTCTCTGAACATACAACGAAATATTAGTAACAACTATAGTTATGATTAGTGTGATTTGAATTTCTCATATAATCTACTTTAAAAAAGATAACACCTACACACTCTGGAAGAAAGCTACTGCACTCATCTCGGCGAACGCCATGTCCATGAACGTGTGTGTAGGCTTGGTATAGGCTATTCACTGTAAAGTGAGCACTCTTTAATGCCCTCCCAACAGACATTAACCACTAATAAATATATCGTATTGCAGCCCTAGGTGCTAAATTCTGAGAGTAGAGAAATGTACACACTGTTTTTATGGGTCACATGGAAAGGTTTATATTAAAAAGCAGCAGGAAGATAGAAATTGTGTGAAAGGAAAAATTTAGATGGGCCTTAAAAAGGCTTCACTTTACCGTGAACAGCCTATAGGAGTAAGTGGAGAGATGTTGGCGGCTCAACATCGAGGTCTTGAGAGCCGGTGAGGGTGAAGCGACGCGAGTACGGAGCAGCGGCGGAATGCAAGGACGGGGGAAACGGGATATCCCCGAGAAAGCTCGCCGACCAGCGACATCGTTCGGCGCGGTTATCACATACGAAAATCCAGGGGTGGCCCCTCCGGGACTCGAACCCGGTTCGTCTTGGTGAGAGGCGAGTAGTCTAACCAGTACACCACCGCGGCCCCATAAAGGTACGAATGGTAAAGGGTTCATGCCGCCAGGGGCGAATCCAGGGGGGGGGGGGACTGAGAGGGGCTGTCGCACCTCCCCCGGAATTACATACATTTTTAAAAACCATTTTACCAAAATGTCAATCATTATATTTATATTTGTTATAACCCACATGACACACACAGTTTCCCTCCTTCCCTTTTGTATCCTTCCACCGTGACTTGTTAACGCCTTAGGTACTACTAATGACAATACCAATACTCATCACCCCCCCCCCCCCCCAACCAAATTTCTGGATACGCCCCTGTATACCGCAGTTTAATTCTCGGCACATACAGGCCATATGTATCTATTTACCTCTCCATTTAACCCTTTCACACACCCAATTTTATTCATGGTTTCCATTGCTGAATGTAAGACTTTTTTGGTCTGTGCTGTACTCTAGCACTTGGTTGCCAACTGTCCCGTAATGTATGGGATTCCTCTGTTCCTGAGGCTGAAACAATGATCTCATTTGGAAACAGGACGTGGCGTTATATCCCGTGTCCTGGACTTCTTAGGAAATTAAGTAAACATTAACAAACGCAGTGCCAGTAATTTACCATTTCCGCGATCACAGTTAGCTTTACGCTGATGCTCTAACCCAACAGCCACAGAAGATATTTACAACTGATGCCGACAGATGGCGACAAGTGCATGGAAGAAGCGCTTACCGAGATGTGCACAATATCCAGGATGTGCAGTAACGTACCGTTTCCCCGTGACTAACAAAACACCGCCACATCATATGTTGACCTCTCCCGCGTCTGTAACAGACTGTTCGTGAGACTTGACTCTGCTAGACTACTCCCTGTGGGATCCCGTGAAGGACTTGATTTACGAGACCCCTTGAGGAATCGGAGGAAGACCTGCTGGCGCGGATTATGGCTGCGGCGGATCTTGGACATCCAGGTATTGGTGATCGTGTGTACCAGAACATGTTGTAAGTGAACCCTGATGAAAAACAATGCACCTAAGTTCCTATGCAAAACATTACAGTTCTGATCCCCACTACAAGCCCTTACATTGTGCAATGAGAACTTAGGCACAACCTGTATGTTTCTTCCAGTGTGTGTGAAACATGTGTTCACTACAACACGACTGTCAGTTCTGTTGATCTCTGTGTTTCTATTGGCTCTCGCAACACCGGACACACTTCCTGTGATGTACATCGTCCAATACTGGCCGACTCTCCGCCAGTGTAACACCGAACTGAAAGTTACCTAATCATGTGTTATTTTCTCCGCAGATTGATATACAGTCCATCCTGTTCGTTTGAGTAATTTACATTTCGATTCTTACCGGCATGATTCTAAGATGTATCGTACACGAAATGCTGGGGAAGTTAGTATTCTATCGCCCGTGTCTTTAAAGAATCTGTATTTCATAATATGACGGCGAACTCCATACAGTTCAGATTAATTCATTTGGCGTGATATTACGTAGACAACAGCCAAGTGTTAAAGGCGATTACATCAGAAATTAAAAACCACACTGAATTATCGCTATAGTAGTAGTTAATGTTTTGTTGTATGTGTCCAGAGGAAATTTTGACTGATGTACAAGACCGACTTTTAGCACATTACACATACAATTTTAAAGTGTTATTTCTTATAACAACTTCCTTCAAGGGCGTTGGAAAGAAAAAAAATGCGTTATTTGATATTTATTCCATGTACTGTTCAACCAATAATTAAAAATTGATAGTTGGTATGAGTGGCGACATTATATGTACTGTTGCTTTTTGCTGAACGAAATTGTTACATTTGCTTGCTAACTAAGTTTATACGCATCGTGTTTTGCCAATATGCCTGTGCAAGGGACAACGTTGTGATAAATCTGTCTCCGCAGCAGGAATAGCTACACTGTACCGTTGTAGTGTCGGATGCGAGTGACGTACAGGAAACCGAAATGTCCATTTCCACATCTGCGTTCCGCAGGGGCCAGTGTGTGCATGATGACAAATATCGGGTACGCGAGATTTACTTGTAAGTTATTTTTATGACCGAATTAATTAGGTGAAAGTTTCGTCTGTTTATTTATCACAAAATTGTTACTTTGCCCGTGGTGTTTGAAACACAATTACGTAACGCGCTCAACGTTTCTGTGATTTGAATGTTTGCCTCGGGCCCCGACAAATGGCTACATCCCGAACGTTTGCCACTGCTACGTACCAAAAATAAGCAACACGAGTTGCGTGCTTGAGTTTATTGTCTTTTCGGTGGACTGAATGCGCCTTCGTTCTAATATTCATACCAACCGAGGTCTTCATTTTAACGAAATAACTCTATACACATTAATAACAAGTGGTTAAATACTGCAGTTCTTTATTCCACAGTTGTATTAAGCCACCCAGTCGCGGCAAAATATATTAATGTGTACTTTGAGTAATGTGCTAGATAGTAAATAACACAAATATTTT